CTTTCTTTTTCTTTCTCTCTCTCTCTCTCTCTCCCCCCCTTCCTTCTCCTTCTCCTTCTCCTCTTTCTCTCTCTCTCTCTCTTTCTCTCACTCTTTCTCTTTCTCTCTCTCTCTCTTGCTTTTTTTTCTTTTGGTACTGGGGTTAGAACCCAGGGCACTTAGCTACATCCCCAGCTCTTTCTATTTATTTGAAGATAGAATCTTGCTAAGTTATATTCCAGTTTATAATTATCTTGCCTCAAGGTTACAGAGTTCTAGGATTACAGACATGTGCCACCAGCATGTCAAGCAAATAGTTCCCTTTTTGTAATTCAAAGTTTCTCAAGCCCTGTGAAAGCCCTTACGCTTTTAGATAATTTTATTGCTTTTCGGCTTTTAGAAATTAGAATCTTACTTCAGAAAAATAGCACCTCACAAGTAAAATCTAATAGTTTTTATTCTGTCAAGAGCTTGGTGTTTGCTTAATACTGCTGGTGTCAGCGTAACACAGGTAAAAAGGTATTCTGTTTATGGGTTGATTTTTTTTTTTTTTTTTTTTTTTCAGGTAGGTTAGATTAATTAGCATTTTTGTTTGTGTACTTCTCAGTCCTGCCAAAAGCAGGAGGTTGATGTTAGAGAGTGGTCAGGAGTTCAGAGTGGTTTTTTTTTTTTCTTTAATTTTCTAAAAGTATTTGAATGCAAGTGAATATAAGAATTACTGGGTTGCAACTTTGAGAATCTCGACACATTTCACGTGAACTTAGATCACTTAGCTTTTGATTAATTATTGAAGGAAAAAGGAAGGTGAGTGATACATAGCAGGCAGGTGATGGGTAAAGAGACTTTCACCTTGGAAATATCAAGACAGTACATTTTCTTTTAAGTACCGTAGAATACTTATTTTATTCTCAAATGGTACCTCACATTGCATATGTAAGTTGTTTTATGCATCCTACAGTTTTAGGTGACTTCAGATTTTTAAAAGGTTGTCAGCAAACAAAATTAAAGTGAAAAAGAAATAAAAGATTTTATTTCTGTAATAAAGCAAATAGTAGTTCAACATCAGTTGCTGTTTCATTAGTTTTGTCTGTGAATGCTTTTCTTGTGGAAAATATAATCCCCAGGAATTGGTGTTGTAGAAAACATTCTGCAGCTGCTGTGCTTGCTCTCACAGTGGCCTCCTCTCACCCTGTAGAGTGTAGTTCTTTTCCTACTTTTAATTGACCCATGCTCTGCAGAGCATGTTCCTTTTCCTACCTTTCATAAATGTGAAACCTCACTACCTTAAAAAAAATTGTTTTTTTGCTTGAGAGTTAGCTTTGGTTTTTGTTAGGGGATTTGTTGCTTTTGCCATTCTATTACAATACTGTCATTATTAAAGAGCTTGTATAGCATTATGAAAGAATTGAGCTTTTTTCCATTTTGTTTTTTCTTAGGATTCACTCCTTCTCCAGTTGCACAGCCACATCCTTCAGCTGGCCTTAATGTTGACTTTGAATCTGTCTTTGGAAATAAGTCTACGAATGTTATTGTAGATTCTGGGGGTAAGAAATGTTTTTAATTTAAATACTATAATCTAATTTGGATTCTGTGTAAGGAAAGATAAAGTTGCTTTTATAGTATTTATGAAGAACGAAACTGTCCCACATCTACCCAGCTATTAGATGATAAGTTCATGGAAGTTTTAGTCTTCTCACTGTTCTTGGTGGTCATTATGCTTTTTTGGTGGTCACTGAGACTCTGGGAAAATTTTCTTTACCCCAGAATACAGTAGAGAAAAAGATTTCTCACTAGAATGCTAACTTTCAAGTCATTGTGTGTAGAATGTTGTGACTTTTAAGTCATTATAATTTTTACAATAGTGAAGTAATGCCTTACTATATTATAATGTATGAGATTGGCTGTTTTTGAATTAGAAAATACGACCTATAGGACAGTTATGTACAGATAAAAACTAGACTATGTTAAATATCAGGCCTAGGGGTACAGGGATTTTTTATTATTATTTTAAAGTTTTTTTTATGACATACTTGTTCATTTGTTGTAAAAGAAGTTTGTAAATCTGTAGAGCAAGTTTATACTTTGTACTTGTATTAATATATTGTTAATACATTGTTAATTTGAAGTTGATGAAGTTCTTAGAAAACTTTGTTGGGCATTTTGATATTATTTTTACCATATGGTGGCCTTTGATATTGTTCAGTAATTAAATTTATCTGTGTAAAAATAATACTAAGATCTTAATTTTATAACATACACTTGTCTATAAAGTAAGAATCAAACTTGAATGTATGGACTAAGGATTTATTTTATGTGCACTTAGTTTATAATTAGACATGTAGGGGATACATTTGACATTTTACTTTTGAATTTGTCTTGCCTTAGGAAAAAGCCAGAGACTAATTGTTCATATTTTGTAAACCATCATTCTCGGTGACTTAGTTACTTTTCTCTTGTTGCTGAGACAAAATATCTGACCCACAATTAAAAGGAGAAAAGTTTATTTAGCACACAGTTTGTGGAGGGTTCAGTCCATAACGAGCTGGCTCCAAAGCAGGATGGCACATGGCAAAGGGGCAACCATTCATGGTAACAAGAGACAACAAAAACAGCAAGTGAGAGAGAGAGCAAGGCAAGCCTGATTTTGTTCCTTAAATTGTATCCAATCTATGGGGATTAGGGCTGTGCCAATCCAATGGACTGATCCAGCAGTCACCCACCCTTAATCTCAGCATTGCACTATAAATCAATCACACATCCTTGATTCAGCTACCTCCAAAAAACTCTGTGACCACATGAGGCTTTAGGGAGACATCTAGATACAAACCATACCAGCGATTTTCTTTTTTAAAAACTCCTCTGTAGTATTTCTAGATCATGCTGTTTGAGTCCTGATTGGGTTGGTTTGGTTGGATTTGCTTTCACCTCCTGTCCTTTGGTGGAGAAACAGAGGTTTTATTTTCAGTTTCAGGATATATCTTAGTTTTCTAGATGAGCTTATGCAGAACAGTTCAATAATTTCTTAGGTATAATTTAGGTTAGCTCTTACATTCTCCATTTTCAGGAATAAAAAAGATCTCTAAAATAGTGTTTCTCAAAATAAAAGGAACTTTTTTCAAAGTGAAGAGAGATACAGTGTACTTGTATTGCTTTAGATATAATTGAGTGTTCAGAAAATTTGCCAGGAGAGCATGAGAATTACATTCTATTTCTTTCCCTTTCACAGTGCTTTTCACCCTTTCATTCAACTCTAATGTAATGTTATTGTGGGAAAGAAATCACATACGATCTCTCTCAAAAAACATCCTTCTCAGTCAGTTCACTTTGAGGTTGTAAATTTCTTTTTCCCATTTGAGGGCATTTACTAATGTCCATTTTTTGGAAGAACTTTTCCAGTGAACAAACAAAAGACAAAGACCTTCTTTAGAAAGTTTTAGCACCATCAGGTTCCTTATGACTCCTATTTCATCTGTTTGTAACTTTAAGGCTTTGATGAACTAGGTGGACTTCTCAAACCAACAGTGGCCTCTCAGAACCAGAGTCTTCCTGTTGCCAAACTCCCACCTAACAAGTTAGTATCTGATGACTTGGATTCATCTTTAGCCAATCTTGTGGGCAGTAAGTAGTCTTTGCACTCTATAATCATCTTTAAAATAAGTTGTTTTATTAAATATGAATCTAGTTTTTGAATGCTTTCTGTTTTCCTAGATCTTGGCATTGGAAATGGAACCACTAAGAAGTGAGTGTTTTATTTGTATTCTTGCCCCATATGTCATTTACAAGTTGATTTGGCTTTCATCTCAAAAGTATAGAGATACCAAATCTGTACCATAAATGCTTTGTTCAATCTGAAACTTTATAATTAGACAATTAATTGTCTCACCATGCTTATTCATTTAAAGTGATGTAAATTGGAGTCAGCCAGGTGAAAAGAAGTTAACTGGAGGATCTAACTGGCAGCCAAAGGTTGCACCAACAACTGCTTGGAATGCTGCAACAATGGTGAGTTAGGAAAGTTCCTATAAACCAACAAGTGAATATTTTAATTAAATATGTAACTTGAAAATATTTTAAAAGTGAAAGGCATAAATCGAAAAATTGTTACTGAGTTTTTGGAGTATACATAGTTTTGGGTTTTTTTTTAAAGCTGGTTGACTATATTTGCCAGGTACATTCTAGTAGTTAACATGTATTTATGAGCCCTGTGTGGTAGGAAGTATTATGTTTCCTGTTTTATAGAGGAGGGAATGGAGCCACAAAGTTAAGAAACATGCACACAGTCACTGCTCGAGTCACTGAGTGCGGTTTTAGATCCCCTCATCAGCCTGAGAGCTGCAGAGCATGTGCTGGTAACCACTACTATATATTGCTGATCTCAAAGTTATGACTGACATGTTAGGAATATAAAATCTTCAATTTTCTTCAGATCTCATCATTAGAAAAATATATTTGCTTGATTTTTGTTACTATTGTATAATTTTATAGAGTTGATTCTGATCATTTGTGGTAGTTACATATTTAGTCACCTGGAACACTAAACTGGTGAACACTGAACCATTGCTACGAAAAATATGTACCTATGTACACATATCTCACAAAGATTATAATCTTAAATCCTAAAACAGAAAATAAACCTCTAGTAGAATGTCTTTTTATTTCTCAAGAGAAAATGAGTCTCAGAAGTCTTAGTGACTTGCCACTGCTAGCCTTGGAATTCTAACCTTATCTTCTGGCTTCAGACCAGAGGTTCTTGCAGTACCCTAGATTGCCCCTGCCTTCTCCATTCTTTGATTATCATCATGTGAAAATCAAAACGAGGTAAAGCATCCTGCTTTTTCTACCTCAGCTAGGAAAGAGCTGTGTCTGATGACTCAATTTTTATGCCCCTTTGCACATGTACATGAAAAACCTCAAAACCACTGTGCGTACTGATCTAGGGAGTATAAATTTTAGCAAGGAAGCAAATTTGCAAATACAGAATACACAAATAATGAAGACCAGTGACATTTGCTAATTAAATAGCAACCTAGTACTGAAGAGATTTTAATAATAGAAGGCACTGTAAGTAAGGCTTGGTAGACCCCAAAGAGCTTTGTGGCTGTTTCTCTGTCCTTTTTTCCAACTATTACTTCACCAATCTACCAAGTCTCCCTTGGTCAGAGACATACAGTTCTTCCTGTGGAAAAATTTGAATCATGGATTAGAGATCTTTAGTGTCCTTACTGTAGCAATTTTTCTAATATCAAATCCCAAAACAGGACCTTGTCCTGTTTAATTTGGGTTACTTGGGTATTAAAATTGGAAGGACTAAGCTAAAAATACCTTGCAGCTAAAAATTTTGTGTAACATTCCAAAAGAAATTTATTAGGTTCAGACTTTATAAGAGGAAAATAATAGTGAAATTTAGCTATCTTTTTAAGCCAGTAATTTTTCAGTTGTCATTACCATCATTAATAAACTTTTACATTTAAATAGCTTAGGTTTTTACATGCAACAAATAAACTCATATATATGCTCTACCTTAAGCTTATAAATCATACCTGTTTGAGAGAGTTTGAACGTACATTACCTCAGTTTAAGCATAAAGCTATCTGGGACCCCCTCTCCTTGGGAGGCAGATTTAAATTGAAATCCATCCCTTCTGGTTCTAAATCCGGTGTTTTTCTTACTACAACACATCTCACTCCCTAGAGGATGACAGAAGCTTAGATAGTGTGTTTTACAGTGTTAGGTGTGAATTGTACGTTAATAATTATGAAGAATGGTATAAATACAAAGGCCTATATTAAAATGCAGTGTTTTGCTTTTTTATGTTAAAGTAATAGTTATATGAAATACTAGTTGTAATAGCACTTAAGATTGACAACTATACTGTAATAGGCTTCTAACCATCTAGAGTTTATATGTAAGTTGACAATAAGATAGCAGTATTTATGGTAGTGTGTCAGGTATGGCAGTGTCTATCTTCTATGGAGATTCTAATATCTGTATTTTAAGGAGTTTCTTTTTAATGGCTAATGTGTGGGGCTGATGATTTGATTCACTACTTAGGATAAATTGCTGCTTATGACATTTCTTTACATTTCTAACCTTTTTATTAATCCTTAAGCACTGTCAAGGTTTTTGAATTTTTAAAAAATAATATTTAAAACAAATTCATAGGAATTTTATTAAAATACCTTATCACAATTTTTTGTATTAATGCTCCTCCCCCCCCCTTTGGAAGACATCTGATGCAGCCCAATTTATGGGACACTCTGAATTTTGCACTATTGACATTACTGGTATATTTTGTGTTTAACGACAGTTTGTAAGCAATGAAGCCAAAGGCTCAATTTCACTTGTCAACCTTGATAGTGTTTTGGTATAGATGTTCTTTCATTAGATACTGGGAATATAAGGGGTTTTAGGTAGTTAGTGAATGTACATGTGAACTAAAATGCTCTCTGTGTATTTTCTGTTGTGTAAGTACTTGTTCTAATCCAGTGTTATTGCATTATGTAATTGTTCTCCCTGGGAAAAACAGAATGGCATGCATTTTCCACAATACGTAAGTGACCAAAAACTAGCCTTTTTGCAATAAATTGGCATGCTATTAACCACTGCTGCAGCAGAATCTCATAACCCTCCAGCTATTGTTTTCACATTCAGATTTTCAATGTGCCAGAAATTCTTCCTAGCATCTACTGATTTTATGGGTGTGTTGCAGAATTGATTCTGATGGTGGCATGGGAAATACCACTTTTTTTTTTTCTTGCTTAATATACTGCCATTTGCTGCCAGATGGCTGGGTGTCTGTGTGTGTATCTGTGCTGCCACTGTGCACTTGATGACTTCTGAATGGAGGGAAATGTTGATTGTGGTAATGTTTAAAATAACAACTGCATGAAATCTTACAGGCTTCTGCTGTACTTGGCAGTCTGTCTACTGCTCTTATAGATTTTGATTTTTGAGTAGGGAGAAACAAGTAAGCCCTACATGCTCACCCCAGTACTAAACTTTTAACTGATTTTTGTTGTTAAAATTATGCTTCATTTTAACTTTTCCATGCCTATGTTCAAATTGCCATGTAATTTGTTTTTTTCTTCATGTTCCAACAGTGTTACTGATCTTTTACCTGCATTCAGTTTTAGTCTTCATTATAAGAAACACAGGGAATGTTTTTCAGACAGTAACTATCTCTAAACGAATTCTGTTTCAGAGTGTACATTTACAAATCACTTGAAGTACTAGGAGGAAGGGAACTTAAATATGGTTCCTTTAATCATTAAAAACAAACTGACATAAAAATTGATTGTTGTTTTGAAATAGTTTTTGAAGTAAATTAGAAAGAATGTTAACATGCATACTCTATGTAAGAACTGTAGTTCATAGAGTCACATTCAGTATTGATTTGAAATATTTGGGGTTCTTTGAAAATGGTGAATAAAAACTATTAGGAGCATTTTTTTGAAGATCAGGTTATTGATCTGGGGATTTAAAGTTTTTTTTAATACTAAAGAAATGAACTACATAGAAAAAATATTCAGTACTACATCCATTTCTTGGTAAACATTTTTAATGATAATGATAGACTTTAAGTTTGTTTGTTTGCTTATTTATTTTGGGTTTTATTGTTTGGGGATTTTTTTCCTTTTTTTTTGAGACAGGGTCTCTAGGGTCTCACTCTGGCCTTTAACTCACGGTAGCCCGGGCTGACCTCAAACTCACAGCAGTCATCCTGCTTCAGCCTCCCTAATACTAGGGTTGGTTATAGGCACACACAATCACATCCAGCACAAGTTTAGAATTTTTTTCTAAATACAAAGACTTTTGTCTTTTATTTTTAGTGGTGTTGGGGATCCAGGCTAGGGCCTCAACACATGATAGGGCAAGTGCTCTGTCAAAACTATTTAGAGCTGTAAATGTATGTTGAAATCTTAGATCAGTATTGTGTGCAAGTTTAAGTTACATTTTTTTTTCTTTTTGATAATTCTGCTTTTCTGCTAATTTTAAGATACTTTTTCATTGAGCATTGACACAACTATTAATGACCACAAATATCCCTTAATCACAGCTGTCTTAGCAGGTTTTTTTAGTGGAACAATAGCTTTTAATTTCTTGAACTGGATTGACATATATGAGTTATACGTTTTTGTTATATTTTTCCTTCTGCTATATCAGGCACCACCCGTAATGGCCTATCCTGCTACTACACCAACAGGCATGCTAGGATATGGAATTGTAAGTATTTTTCCAATACAGTGTCTTAAAAATAGATTAAATTATATCTAACATGCTTTTATTACACTGTTAGCTGAAGAAAAGAATTTAGTACCCTATATGTCATCAAATCTAGTGCCTTAACACAATAGTACCGTAGCTTTGGTTTCATAAGTATTTCTAGAACAATTAACGTACATTAGATACTATTTTTTTACAGTATTATTTTACTTGTGTTTCCCCTCCTGACTTTGCTAGGCATGTTGCTTTTCGTTACAGACTTATAAATATGCTAATGTTAACACCAAGCTTTTGTTAAAGGTGACCTTACATTAAATATATTTAGGTCTTACTACCTTAATACTATAGAGAAAGAAAAGGTAACATTTCTTGAATTATACAGGTTTACATTTAGTCTTGCAGAGGCCAGAGAAATTTTCCTAAGACAGTGAGTGTTATGTATAAAAAGTCTTAACCTTACAGTCCCAACAATCCACATTCTATACTTTTGCTTATTCTCCCAACCCTTTCAATATACATACTGATTTAGATAAGAATTGTAGGTAGTGGCTTCAACCCACTGGTATATATTTTTGGAACTGATGCTGGCAGAAGATTCACTTTGGTACTGGTGTTGTGTCTACTGTGCTGTTTTATACTTGATACTGAAATAGCTCCTTTGGTACATGGGAAGAAGTTTTACAGCTTTTGGTTGGTGTTCATGCCCATAAATTTAAAGTAAAGCTCTTGATATAGAATTAGTAGACTACATGAAAGGTTAAATAGGACTTCTTAAAAGATAAAATTTTAGAACATTGTGTTTTCACCAAAATAATATAGTAGTCTGTATTTGTATTGTTTTTAGTGAAACATTGTTTGAGATTCTATTTTTGGGGCTGGGGATTTAGCTCAGCAGCACGGTACCTGCCTGGCAAGCATGAGGTCATAAGTTTGATTCCCGGTACCAAAAAAAAAAAAAAGAGGGAGAGAGATTCTATTTTCAGTGACTCAAGAATGAATTAACTTCTTTGTTTGTAATTTATGCCTCTTGATTTTTCCTAAAAATATAATTAAGTTCCTGAAATTAAAGAACTATTGCAAATAAACTTTTTTAATAATATCAATTGCCTTCACTTGTGATCATTTATTTAATGGCATAAAAACTTGATATATAAAAGCAGGTTACTTTGAAATATGTTAGCAGTTTAGGGATAAACCTGGCAAATTTGGAAATTTTGTAAGCTTTTTGGTAAATCATTTCATGTGTTGAACTATAGTAAAGTTTAATATTTTCAACTTATTGAATGGAAAAGTTAGGCTTTCTAACTCCCTTTCTTAAAAAAAAGGTGCATGCTAAAGACTTGCCATACAGAAATACTATTAAAAGTCTATAGCTCTTAGTCTTTATTTGCATTTAGAGGAATTTTCCCTTATAGTCAAAGCAAAGGTACTGGTGGCCTTTCATTCTCACTCTTCTTGTTTGCTTAGTGATAGTAAGGAAGAAGTGAATTATAAACACTTAACTTGATATTCTTCTACCTTTTTTTTTAGCCTCCTCAAATGGGAAGTGTACCTGTAATGACACAGCCAACCTTAATATACAGTCAGCCTGTCATGAGACCACCAAACCCATTTGGTCCTGTATCAGGAGCACAGGTATTACATTCTACACATAACTGTTGTAATCAAAGCCTCACTTGATTGCGAGGGGCTATAATACTTTAAAAAAAAAAAAAAAAAAACCTTTCAAACAACTTCATGAAATAAGTTATTAGCATATTTTACTTCATCGTGAGTGTTACTTGTTTGCTGTCTTTCCCATTAAGAACTTTTAGGCTATTGGAGACTGAGGCAAGAGAATCACAAGTCAAGCCTACTCTGGGCAATTTAACAATTTAGCAAGATCCTATCTCAAAATTTTAAAAAGGACTGGAGGTACAGCTCAGTTTTAAGGCCCTGGGTTCAGTTCCCAGTGCTAGGAGGAAAAATAAAAAGCAGCAAGTTTTTGGGAATGTTGATTATTTGGAGGGAAAGAACAAGTAGATTACAAATAAAAAAATGGAAAATTCTAGAAGACTTCTGTCTGGTGGATCCATGGGATCCTTGGTTGCTCACTTAAATGTTATTACATCAAGAATAGTGTTCTTGGGATATTTGTAAAACTCTTGGCATCTCTCCAGAAAGTTGTCTATTTTTTCATATTAGATAATTTCCTGCTCCTGATGATTATATTAAAACACAAATCACAAAAGGAGCAGAAAAGCTTGAAATGGCCATTCTGACCCAATTCCTTTCAGTGAGAGACTTTCCTCTTCTGATGTTTCTAGGGTTCCCTTTTTCAGTTCCTAAAAGTTCACTGTAATATTCACTTTCTCAGCCTATTGTTGATAGCATTAGAAGAATCTGGATCTTTACAGAAAAATCTTGTATCTGTTATTCTGAGTAAAAAGGAAATTCCTGTTACTTACATTGAGTTGCTTGTGAAGTGATAGGATGGCTTTTCCTCTCGAGTCAGTAGTTCTGCTCACAACTTTTTAACAGAAATACTCATTACGTATAATTGTTGAAGCATTTCTTAAATTATTTCCAATGCCACAGGTTGGTGACTGTACATATATGATGCTTATTTGAAAATGAGTTTTGGTAATGGCATAAAAAGCCTTTTCAGTGTGAATGTGCGTACACGCTATATTCACCAAAGCATACAGTGTTATTCTGCTGAAATTAGTTTTTATAGACCCAATTTGAATCTATTCTTTGTATTTCATAGACAAGTGAAGCAGAAGAGATCTTTTCATTTTTCAGCCTTGTTGAGTATGAAAATCGTATAACAAATTAGCATCTCTGTTGACTAGGAATGGATAGTGAATTTGCCTCTGATTAAGAAGTCAAACT